CTTCACCTCAGTCGCACTAGTTCCGATCTTGTCTTCCATTTTTCATCATAATCTGGATTACCCAAAATTGTCATGAACGGTGCTTTTAATAGAGGTATTCGAATAGGCCAGTGAGGATGAATACCAGTTTCAGTGCAACCTACGTCACCGGAGCACATAGTTAATGAGTTTCATCGCTTGATTTTTCCTCCTTTACGCCATTTTCTTTACTCATATCGATATTCTGTCCATATTCATCACTTTCATCGTCTCCTTCCGATTCCGATTCCCTTTAAATATGTTTTATCACCTTTACAAAAAATCGCTCATATTAAAGTGACCAGACCTTAGTTTTGGCTGTGTATTTACTTAGTTACTCGAAATTCTGAATGAAAAACATTTTCAAGTGAGTTAGGACTTACTCAGAAGTTTGTGGTAGCTTGATGGTTCGTAAAAGAGTTCGAATATCAAAGCCGGTTGTCAAGCCGGTATTGAACATTGCAGTTGGTAACGTTAATTGTTGTTGAAGTAGTGACAGCAGAGTATTCGACACTGGTGGAAGGTTCACGAATGCCGGTTCTGAAGAAGCAACACTTTGTTTTGCAAAAGAAGACGTTTCCTCGAAGAGTCCACGGGGTAAGGAAGTGCCCTCGACATTATTAATATTCAAACACCCGCCGTTCCTTAAGCACAGTAGTTCCCACGGAGATGTTCCGGTGGTGGTCAAAGTTCCTTCAACCTGGGTGGTGGGACCTATTTTTTTGTTTTAGGAGACAGAATTTGAGAAAAATCTTTTTTTTTGCCACCAATCCGCCAGTCGAATCAGGTGCTTCGACTGCAAATCCCTTGATCACCTGAGAGTTAGGGATCAAAAAGGTGGACATAATCGCTACTGGGAAGGAAATGAGATACGAGTATTGGTATGCTACCAGTATGTACTGGTGAGGAATGTCTTATAAAGTCTGGGAAACTCGGTTGAGACCGTTCAACCGCATCCTTTCTTTCCAGTACCACCCTATGGCGCTTTAGACATTCCTAGTATAACTTCTTGCCCAGTCATCACATCGAGCTTGTAAGATGCCTCATTTTGTATGAATTCATGCCAATCCCAAAGAAATTCAAACACCCGCCGTTCCCGGAACACAGTAGTTCCTACGGAATACACCGGTGGCCAAAGTCTCTCCGTCCTAAATTAATCCTATTTTTTAACTTTAAGAGAGAGTAGCTGGGAACGATCTGTTTTTGTTTCCAACCGCTATAGTGGTGCAGTCTCCCGACAGACCGATTTCTCTTGTAGTTCTGTGGGAGTCTTAAAAAAATTCTTATTCGTGAATGAAGGGACTGTGCCGGTTAACCAGTTGATCTCAATACAGGCGAATCGAACGCAAAACCTTGGACCTCCGGGGAGCGTGGAATCAAAAAAGTATTCAACTCCACTACCAGTAGGCGAATGAGATGGAAAGTATCGATCTATCATCAGAATTGGAGGAAAAACTTAAGGTAAAGCCGAAGAATTTCAATCTGATTCATTGATTCGTAGCCTTCTCTTTCAAGACCACCTGAGTGATTGCCATCTTGCTAAAATGACTTTTATTTTGCCACCTATTTTGACTTTGGGGAATTTCTACTTTTGTATGACATCATCTCATTGTTAAAGGGATTCAAATACCCGCCGTTCCCTGAACACAGTACCTCCAGCGAAACGATTCCGACGGTCAAAATTTCTTTCAAACCCAAATGAACCATAATTTTTTCAGTGTTGAGAGACTTGAATTACAGTACTTTTCGATTTGACCCTACTAAGCTACAGTGGTCCACTAAAACGTCTCCTTACCATCCATGATTACCCTTTGATCCTTTCCTTTCTGAAAGAGCCTTTAGTCCATTTGNTTGGAGAATCGAGCTCACTTCGTGCACATTGTTGGAACCAAATACGAGCTGGTTGTAGACTACCTTTCTTCTTATGGTGCTATTGTTCTTGGGCGCCCTTCAGATAAATCCCCATAAAGAGAGACCGGAAGAGAGAGTAAAATTCTTACGTGGTACTAGGAAAGGCGATGGTTGGACGAGATCGTTGGTTGGTGGAGACGTTCTGGTAACTTTTGCCCCAGTCAACGGATTGATTCGGACTGATTCGTCGTCATGAACATGGACGCTCGGATCCAGACGCATAGTCTCGTAATTGTTGAATATGGCACGTTTCCTGTAGAAAGGATGTTGTGAGCATTAAGAGAAAAGGAGTGAATATAGCGGAGTTCTTTACCTCAGCAAGGATATAGTCATATCATATTTTTGATGATCGACCGCATCAATTTTGATAAGATATTCAAATTTGGCTGGGAACGGCTCGTCTATTAACACCTCCGGAAGGCCTTGTTTGAGGTCTTTTACGTGTTCCGCCGAAAGAGAACCCATTCGGAGCCTAGTTGATGAGCTAAAGAGAATAACTGTTAAAGTACTACTGATATTACTTGAAGGCACACTTCACGATAAAAATGGTTTCTGGTGGTCAGATCATCCCCCAGGATGAACTTCTGACCCCAAGGACAGTGCATGGGACTCGATCGGGCTGAGAGGCGGTCTATACAGAGGGTAATAAAGGCTCTAAAACCGCCTTGGGCGACGTACACACTCAATGTGGCCGTGTTATGCCGGCCTTGTTGAGACTGCACTGTTCACAATGAAGTGTCAGGACGCGACGAATAGTACGCTCATGGGAGAGACACCCAGACGATTACAGGAGGCTAGCTCGTACAACCACCTTTTTGCCTTTTTTGAAGTCACACATTTTTCAGGATCCGTGGATTTTTGCGCTATCTTTGCACCCTTGTACAGTTCTGCACCATGGCTTCCATGATTTCTTTTGACTAGAATTACCGTGAACTGTGCCTTTAAAAGGAGGAAGCTTTAGACTTAAAATTCAAAAAAGGCTGTTAATAAAAATCACTTCTCAAATCCAAATACGAATGATAGAAATCCGCAATTCTCATCACAAATTCTGATCAATATGGCTTCATTTCCCATTACTGAACTGTCACGGAAAATTCGCTGAAGAGACAAGCTGCTGGCGAGGGTGATGAGGCTAAACGAAAACCACTCAGTCAGAAAAGCATTTTTCGATAGTAACTAGTTCAATTTACCCTTTATTGAATAGGCTGAGCATTGTCTGATATTCTTCACAGGCAGCCATTTGTTTTTTCGTTTTCGAACCTTTTTTCTCACCCATGATAGGACTAGGGCATAGCTTATGACCAACATCCTGTAGCATTTCTGTGCCTTTAAATAGCCATGACCATACTGTATGTTGTAGTTCAGTGGACATATCCAAACATGAGATGCATTTATCCTAAAAAGGCAAAATATAGCATTTAAGCACTGAAGCTATGTGGTAGTAGGACAATTACTGCCAAAAAGTTTGCAATAGTCCGGATTTTTTCCCCAATCTTCTGGAAACTTCTAAGGGGTAAGGGGTAAGGACGCTACCCACACATTTCATAGCTGACTTCCTCTTCCTTGCTCGTCTAATCCCATGAGTTTTGAGCTGCTTACCCACATTCAACATCTACTTTTATGAGTTCGGAGCAAAGCTAAGCTTATCGAAAGTGGTATCTAGCATTTGGCCTTGAAACCCTCTCTGAGTGGTTCTGGGACCACCTCAATCCGACGCCTTCCAGTCTAGGGCAAGAAGGCAAAAAGTAGAGGTAGGGTAAGGTAAGGACCCCTAGATCTGGTTAAGCGACTGCGGTATTATGAATCGCACGAAATCGTTCAGAGAATTTCTACAGGAACTTCGGAAGCATTTTGTTATAATATGGACCGTGGCCGGTTAAGCGTGGACTTCTTGGCCGATACTACTCACAACCTAATGCATGTAGGCTACGTCTTGGTCGTAGGGTGGATTTCGCTTCATTTCTTCTTCTCTCTATTTATTCATTAGAACTTTCAAGGGGAGAAGGTTCGGATCTCACAAAATGACTCACCACCATAAGTTCTCGCCTCTCAATGAGACAAGTCGGTAGGACTTGTTCCGTTAGTAGTCGATCTCTGATTTCTTTGACACGGTTCGTTGTTGATGACCCCTTGACATTACCATAGAGTTCAAGTTCCAATGAATTCAGCTCTTCTACTGTTTTACACCGAATTACCCTAAAATTATGGATAAAGCTGTTTCGGAGATAGCTAGGTGATAACTATTGAATCATCGAATGGCGGAACCTCTGACGAACCGTGGTAGGAAGATCATGCACTGTATATGGCATACTTCGTGATATTGTAGGCTTCTTGCCTGTACTACTTGTGCTTTTACATAGTTTTGAATTGCCTGGCGCAGTACTGTCCAAGGGATCGTCGAATTCTCGCTGTACATCTCCGACGAATCCTGAAATCGTCAGATACTCCCTTTGTCCATGATTGGTCCTATCCTCAGTGAGATAAGATGAGATGGGGTCACCCAGCCCAACTAAGCCTTTCGTCTCTTCGTGGGTAGCTAAATGGTATCAGACCCGTCTGTGAGAATACAAACTTTGACTTGTGCATTAACTGGCCACATACGCATTCAAAACGCCTCTACGATTATGAATGGAGGCTAGATGCGAGGCGCATCCCAAAAATGGTTGGTTGACTCCCGAAAACATTATCTTCTGTCCTCTGGTTCTAATAAAATTTGTATAACATCTGTAAGACTCACATTGTGCTCAGATGCAAGCATCCGACTCCAGAATATCGAATACAGCAGTGGCTCGGTTTGATCATTAGTGATGGCGATCAGAAAGGGATGGGACAAAGCCACCTGAATGTTTCGCATAAAAACATCCCGAGGATCCTGGGAAGTAGCCATTAAGTACCTTCTGAGTTTATATTTATCACTAAGAACTTATATATATTCAGAATTTCCTCAGCGCTGCCTGTTAGGCCGATGGCAGTCAGCTATTTGTTTCTGCTTCCCCGTTCTAATGAACGAATCGCGCTGCTTGATCGGCTAGATAGCCGATTTGCACTTTTCAATCGTTGCCAGAAGTCTTGCTGATAAAAAAGGGAAAAAGTTATGATAACAGTTCAATTGACATTACTTATCGAAAACTGCCAATGCCATGTATTCCTGACCTTAATAGCTCTATGCATTTACCCTATGCATGCACTTTTAAAGCACTCTTCGTTCAAATAGCACTTCCAGCAGACCTATTCAAGACAAAGTGACAAGAACTTATAGAACTCATTAACGGAACTAAGTGGGACCCTGGGACAAGAGGAGAGGTTCCCGGTAATCTTCTAGAGGGTTCGACTCTAGATTAGAATGACTGGGGCGGAGTTGAAAATGAAATTTCCATGAGTCTTTAGAAAAACGCACGTGGTTCACGATGAGCTTGTTGTCGATATTGATCGCGACTTCCACTTGAATAGCATATCTTGTGGCCAGTTGACGTCGATCCACCATCGAATTCAGAGCCACTCCCTGAAAAAAGTCGGTTATTTTTCATTTTGCCAAGTCTTTTATTTATTTTTGTACTTTCTATGTCAATTACAACCATGCTCTTCATTGAACGCAACTTATTCCATTCCTGGGTGTGTTCATTTTGTAAGCAACGGCACACACTAAGCCCTCCCACTACCTTTGGAAAAAATAGTGTTTATGACGTCCAGTGGGAGATTTTTTGATTTTTTTGGTAGCCATGAGGGTGTGGCAATAGTCACCTATACTGGAGAAACCGATAACAATGCTTCCCTCAAAGAAATTCTTAGGGATATGCATTTTGAAGGTTCTCAACGACTTTGGAAATGTAGACGGAAGGATATCCCATGCTAAGTTTTCTTTAATTTATACATTCTCGGATTTGAATAGAGGTGCTGGCTGTTATGTGCCGATGAATGATAGATAACACCCAGCTTGTACTTTTTACCCAGATTTCTTGAAAGTGTTCCTTTTAAAGTAGGAAGCAGAGTAGTCACAAAAGGCTCGCCACCATACGTACTGTCCGAGGATCGAACCCTGGCTCAATACTGGCCTAGTGACACCGTCAACCCTCTAACCCTCTAGGACCAGTTACTTGGCANGGGGGGGGGGGGGAGGAAGGGGATGGGGGAAGCTTTTATTTATTCATCTACTGTCCCTGTAGGTAGGTAGGTACGTATTCAAACGCCATTATGGTTCTGAATGAAAGACAAGTGCATGGTGTCATCCCAAGACGGGATTGTTGGGGGAGCCAGAAGTAGTTTCCTTGAAAATTCATTTACCATTTCAGGGAAAGTGGCACACAGTACGTGATTGTCATATTTGAACGGGGTCGTTTTAGCGTCTCGTTCATCCATCCGTTCCACAAGCACTCGTGAAACGTTATTCGAAGCAGCCTGAACGAGCTCTACAGGAATCTACACTGATTTCGGGGCTTACACTTCATACCTGACTGGCTATCAACTTTCCATTACTTACGGTCGCTCCGTTTTGGTCCAGGTTTTTAGCTGCTGGTGTACCCTCTCGTTGAGTTAGGATCATTCGCCCTGCCGCCTGCCTGCAGCAGCTACCTCTTTCAAATTATTGGATTAAATATATTTCCCCACGAATTAATTCAAAAATATTCTAAAATAAGTAGTAAAGTCAGGTGAAGTTGCAGATTCAGCAAACCTTGGCGTTGTCCCGTCGTGAAGTAATTTAACCAGTGAAGCACGAAAAAATGCCTCTACCGTTTTGGGTTGTGGAAGGATGGCATCGTCTGCATCTTGCGTGATGGCACAGACCCTATAGAATTTAAAAAATCATTCATTACAGAAGGAACAGTGCTTGAAATCCCATGGGTGCGGTGCAGATGTGCTCTCTGGATCATGAGGCTCTGGAATCGAGAGGAAGGGTCTACACAGAGGAAGGCGGTGGCAAGAAATTCACGGGCAGTGAGGAAACCGAGCTTCCACTCTGTAGAGCCCGTCTTCTCTTTTCTAGAACTCTCTGTATTTTTCCCTACATACTTGACTCTCATTGTTGGATGGCTTGTACGACATTTGACGACGTTACGAGCCCGATGAATAAGCGGTGCCATGTCGATTTCAACTCGTTCATCTGTAGGCGAAATTCCATCGACGACTTTTGGCCACTCGATTATTATCGACCTGAAAGCTACTAGTGGAAACCAACGACGAACTTGAACTGAATCTCGATGATACTGAGCTCCTTTCAGGTGGTCCTTATATGCCTTTAGAGGAATAAGTCTATTTTGTTAAGGAACATCGGCAAACACTAACTCTTGAATGACCTGTTCGATTAACGCTAGTTGTGCCGTATGATCTTCAGGAGCCATCGGAGCATTTGACAGACGGCGATAAAATTTTGAGAACCTGAAAATGTGGGATTGAAAATAGCCTGACTCGATAGAAAGTCTTAATCGAATGGGAGGGGTTTTACTTCGAAGAATGAAGTGATGCCTACTTCGACAACAGCTACATTTCTACCTCAGCAGAAGTTCTCTCAAAGCTTCTTGTTAGAAGTGTAATACAGTCTTCAGAAGGTGGTACGGCTCAGAGTAGATTTTGATCCGGCTTTCCGAAACGGTAACTTTCTGAAGCGTGAGCTCGTGTGTATGGGAAAATCCGGTGAATTGTTCTTATTATGGGACCGTACTAGGGCTAGAGCTGTTATAAGTAAAGTAAAATTCTGTTGGATGTAGCTCCCCACCTCGCAAGTAAAGCAAAATTCTGTTGGAGGCAGTCCTCCACCACACCCCAACATACGTATTAGCATTTATGGAGACCAGGAGCTAGGATCCGATGGATCGCGCATCTGCACAAGGAAATGTTCCACTACAACTAAATACTTCGGTACCTACAGTTACTCCGACTTAAACGGATGTTTTCCTTCCAGACGTTAAAGGCTACTCACTCTGGTATCAGTGGATTGTCCTCCGTTTTCAGCGGATCGATCAGCAAAGAGCACCGTCGCTGTCGTATCAGATATTCCTTTTTCTTTGAAAGCAGATTATTGAATTCTTGCTTCATCGAGAACATATTGCATGGTCGTTTTGCCTGAATAGGTTTGATTGTTGCACAAACTTATCTGACTCTACCTCTCCTAGTCAGTAGGCATCAATTAATCTGCTCGATAAGTCTTCTTCCTCACCATCAGATACATGTGGCATTGCACTACAATGTTTTTCACTCCCCTGACTTTCAGCAGTCTACTCGTATTTGAAATCAAGTACGCGAATGTCATTTAGAAGCTGAACAGGGTCCCGATGAGGTTGTACTCGGGACGTCTGTGTCCATTTTTTCGTTTGAGAGGAAGCCCATTGCTCGTGCATCCGGGCCTCTTATAGACAGTTGAGGAATAGTTACGATGAGCTCACATAATTCTCTGGGTTAGCAGTCGAAATTCATCATCAGCAAAGAAACGAAAGGAGCAAGAAATTCTTAGAACCCCCTTTTCAACCAGTTGAATAGGGTGGGAGCGTTTGGACGAGATTTCAGTCGGTACAACAAACGCGCTCCATTCCGAGCATTAACGGCCTCTGTAAAATCGCTAAACAAGTCCTCCCATGATAGTGTTAAGCTGCAGTAGACGTCGGGACCTAGGTCCGTCCTTGAAGCCCTCACCCTGCCCGATGTGGACCTTTTCCACCTAAACGTGCCCCGTGCAACCTTTTCGAAGTCATAGCTTTGACCGAAAAGAAATCTAAAATTCTTCATCCCGAAAAGCCTTTTGGGATCTAATCGAGCACGTCTCGGATATGTTCTGTGATTCTTTTTGGCTATATTTAGCAGTTTCGTTTCGGAAAACGTCCGACTGATTGGAAACAAGAAATAGCTGAGAATTGCAAATTACCTCATGTGAATCCTTCGTGTTGGCTTTCCTTTTAAGCTGTGTTGAGGGCGATAACATAACTGAAATGGGTAGTTTGTTTTACTTCTCATGGGTCTTACAGCGTCGGAACGCAAGAAGGTGTCAGGACCAGTGGAATGTGAATTCCTTCTTTGGACGTAACTAAGCATGTAGATTTGCGAGGGATTACAGTCTCTGACTTGCATAGGTTTGCTGGAACCTATTTTCAAGGCTTCTGATTAGCCCCTATCGAGTGCAACTGTTTTCTATTACCTACTGTCATTAACTACGTCTGCTGTCAATAGTCTACTGTGTGCCCCAGGTCAGGAACGAAATTCTTACAGAATTCTGCCCCCTTTGATTAGTCGTCGCACGTCACTTGACAACAACAATGCTTGGAAGGGTTCATCAGCTCAGTCATGAGCACCTATCTTAAAAACCAGAGTTGGTTAGTGAGCTTCCAAGCTGCACTTCGTTAATTTTGCAAACTCGACAATAAAACCGATTGATTCTATTTTCACCAAAAGGGCTCATTCTGAACCGAATCGACGTAGGAGTTGAAGTCTCTGAATCTAGTGACTTCAAAAGTATTCACGAGTACAAACTTCTTATGGCATTTAGCCTGAAGTTGAAGTCTTACCCAGCTCTGAATTAAGTTTAGGAAAGTCTGGTAAGGAAAAATGGGTTGATGTGTAGTCGACAAAAATGGTATCTATGTCTGCTGATTGCTGATTTAGTAAGAAAGATATAATATTAGAAATTACTCCCAAAGTGATACTCTTCAACAACCTGGTGAATGCCATGGAATGAAGACGCTGTCAATCTCGGTAGATTTGGGGAATCGCAATAAAGGGCACAGCTATGAAACTTAGGTGGTAACCAACAAGAGAAGGTTATCAAAAACCAGGTGAGGAGTTAGGAACCTCAAGAGTAAAAGAAAATTAATCGTCGTAAGTCCAAACACGTTGATAGCAGAGCTTCATAATGATCCCTAGTACCAAAAAAAATCTAGAGAACCCGATTCATAGTCACATTTGAATAGCGACAGCCCCTTCTCCACTAGATATTTTTTTACTATAGAAAGAAAATTGGAAGATGGAATCCGCTCGAACATTGTTCCTTGAGTTTCTACAGCCCTTCTGGGAACTACTCAAACAATAATGTATAAAAGTATGACATATGGAATTCGATCTAGCCGAACCTAGAGGGAGGTAGGTACTAAATTTTTGAATTTTGAAAAAAAAGCTCCAGAAGAAAAGAACGAAGAAGAGCGATATGGCAAAATGAGCGGAAAAATAACGTGTGGGTAACAATGCGGTGGCTTTTTATCAAGTTGTTTTTCTCGTCCAATATACGTAGTCAGATAAGTAGTACACGTTTCACTAACCTAGCCAGTAATTTCGTTTTAGTAAAAGATGTTACAGATATGAAGCCGTCCGGTAAGACTGCTGCTAGCAAACAGTACAGAGTTGATTGATGAGCAACGAAAGAAGCACTTCGATGTGGACGCAGAAGCACTTTTGATAAATACTGTGTGATAAGCACATTATACAATCACCTACCGTAGTTTCCTTTGAAGGGTTCTCTTGCTATTCATTATGATCAGCACTTCCAACAGAAGCAAGTTGAGCTATCCATAGAACGTCGTAGTCGAAATCGGGTCCCGAATTCTTTGCATCGTTTATACTTTGCGCCACATCACCGTAGAATCTGAGAAATTCCCATGTCTAGCTGATGGTCTGTGTAATATCGCTGGATTTTTTTTCTTCCCAGAAGAATTAACCATGGAAAGTTACCTGCAGTGATTGTTAGTAGTTGTGGCTGCATCTTCGGACTCACCATCAGCTTGGGGGCGAGAGCCCAAGCCTTGGTTCACTCAAGCAAAGGCTAAGCACCAGAGTACTCGATCTTGCCGTTCTCTTGCGTGATTCTGCTCAGACTCCTACTTTCGGGTACCCTTTGAATTGTGGCTTATCCGATCGGAATTCTAATGAGGTATTGTCTTCAGGCATTCATATGATCACAATTTGTTCGAAACTTTGAAACGTGGTCACTCAGAAATGGAGCGGCTTACCAGCTCCATTAACGCTTACCTCATTTTTCCTTTTTGTTTGCATCATTTTAATGACTTTTTGTAAAAAGTGTAGGAGTTTAATTAAAGAAGAATTGTCGGTTGATGTCATTTCGTTGCTCGAATATGGTCTTGTTGACGAAAAGTTTTCCGTCTTCCAAGTTATCTTCCTCAAACAAAGCCAACTGATGGAAAGAAACGGAATAACATAGTACCATAGAATGATAAGCGATAAACTGGGTGTTTTCGGCCGTCTACAGACTTCCATACACAGGTAGTGGAAAATTCTGTATCGATGCCAAAAGGGTTCTGAAGGCATCTAGTCTTTTCTGTAGGACTACTGAGTGGATCTGTTCGTACAACTGGGTATTGGAGAGTAAACTCATTCAACGACGTTCTACAATCAGTTTCTGCAGTTTCATTATCCACTAAGTTATCGGTGCCCGATATCTTCTGATCCATCTGTCTAATATTTGGATAGGTAGCTGATCCTAATACAAGCTCGAAGCCCTCATGTCTCTAANNTAAGAGTGAGCTCCTGCGAGAACATTACCTAGGTTCAGCCCCCAATCTCATGTTGATCATAAAAATCTTTCTGATGATATGAACATCTGTAGGCGTTCCCCTGCAACAACTCCAGCGTGTCAGAATCCACTTGAAGCAACAGTCTGCGATGAAAGTGGCTCATGGGGCAAAAGTCCATAGCTAATAAGAGAGCCTTGGAGAGCCTTGGTCTTTCTGAGGGAATTGTCAGGTCCAGATAGTTAGGGGCCCTTAGAACCGTTCACATTGCCCGCTACAGCTCACTGCTCCCAGAGGAGGACGAGTTGAGTGGCCTTATAAAGGCTGATATTATTTGAAATGGAGCGTTTGTTGTTGAGTCTCTTCAAAACATCTCTCCCGTGTCGAAATCTCACCGACCCTTGGCATTAGTGGCTCAAAAAGTGTCTTATGGTCTAGGATCTTTTCTGATTTTTTCATTTGCTTACTACCGAGGAACCACTTTGCTCCAAGACATTCACCCTGTAGCCCAATAAGGGTATAAGATTGATCGCGACGTGTATCTACCTTTTATACACCGGCTCATCAGCCGGCTCATCAAGGAAAATGAAATGACTTAGTTGTACCTGAACAGACTGGCAACCACATCTAGCTGCCTGGCCTTCGAAACTGAAAGTAATGAACAAGCCCTTCTACTATCCGAGTTCACCATTTTTCTCACTTATTTCTGGGACCTTCGATCCGTTCCTTCTCGATTTCACTTGCCATTGATACATTCCCATTGACTATGCACACTGGCTCTAATGTCTCGAATTTAATAGCATTTTTGGGATTCAGGCCCCTCCCTAGGCCATATGGGAGCTTCTTGAGTCCCAAAAAGTTAGGACATTCTAGTGTTGAAGCGATGCTATTGAGACAATATGAGCTATCCGTTGATGTTTTGTCTCAGCCTTTCTTTTTTTAATGCTTGGTTCAATAACAGAAAAAATATTAAAATAATTTATAGACAGGTTTAGCTTCGCCAAAGCGGTAGATTTAGGATTTCAGTTGATCCATTGATCGGATGGGTTTCTTTTTTTCATAAGAAACACAATGACTGCTTTTCCATCAATGTCAATGCTCAATGAAAACTAAAAGCTGTAAAGAAATGGAATGACAAACGATGAATTGGTGGGTAGTTTCTGTTTGTACAGACATATGTACACCGCAATAGGCACATTTAAGCAATAACATTTTAAAAAAACAGGATCAACAAAAGGGAATCTGTGAAATGTCGGTTCCATCCAGTAGGAGACGATCTCCTTTGAACGGGTATACAGTACTGATTGACATAATCGATTTCCTATCGATTTTCGATTCGTCTACAGTAATCAATCAGTATAGAACGGGTACTTTGGAGCGAACATCTTTTCACCGTACTGTGCACATTCCTTTTCGTCCGATATATCGACAGCACCAAAACATGATTCCCTGAAAAAAATCTCTAAAAATTTAAAAATCCCAAATGCTATATGTAAAAATTAAACAAGCAAATAATAAAGATCAAAAATGAAGTCTTTGACGTCAATCAATCACGTCTGAGGAGTGCGCCCTGCATTCGACTTCCATTCATAATCGTAGTAGCGTGCTGAATGCGTACGTGGCCTATACAATGAGTTGCGGTGGCCAGCCGATGTGCAAGTCAGTGCTTTTATCCTCCCGACGAATCTGGTACAACTACCGACCCCGGAGGGATGGAAAGTTAAGTTAGCTCAGACGATATCGGTCTGGGAGTTGAACCCGTGAACAATCGTGCGTGGAGATGATATAGTGGGCCATTTGCCACTATATCATCTCCACCTTTCGCACATAGAATTATTAAAAAAAATTTTTAAGGCAAAAATCTCGAAGGATGTTCATGGTCTAGATAGCTGGCGTGGATTTTCAACAAGTACATAAATAAGTTGAGTTCTACTAGTAGCGCTAGTCACCTACAGCCTCATTCCTTGAACGCAGATTTATTCCAATGGGAGTCAGTTCGTCTCAGTTCAGCCCTAGCCTTCAGCATATGAGCCAAGTTTTCTCAGCAGCCCCTCGTACTTTTGAAAAACGATTTCCTTTAGTAAAAAGCAGCACATCTCAGGTTTTCCTATATGGGAGCCTGGAGGACAACCCTAACACGGGAGCTCCGATGTGATTAAGTTCTTTCTGAGGGGCCCAACCTGTGGACCTCCTGGTCCAAGGGTGGTCAAACGAATGCACGTGCTTTAGCACAATCTTTGATCTTCGATTTATTGGCACGTGCTTAGCGTCGCTGTCATTTGGAGCTCCAATTTCGACATTGCCCATGCCCAGTTTTTAAACCGTCTAAGAAACCAGTTCCCTTGTGCTTAAGGGTCAGTTCTTAATTGTATTGTATCCCAAATTTGAATTCTACTTCTTTCCATTTTCCTTATTTCTATCTACTTTCAGAATAAAACAGCTCCGAGCGGCCACCAGAACCTACTATTATCTACCCTGCACCTGAAGTGCTCAACAGAAAACTTTTGGACATGAAGATCCACGGTACAGGTAACTTTAAGTAGTACTGCTCAGTATCTTGGTAAATGGATTTTAAAGCAGCGTTCAAACGTAAAAGGAATTTTTGTCTCGGTAGTCGGCTGCGGCTCAGTCGTTTCTCGTTGAGCTTCTTCAGCGATATTATGGGACTTTTACAAATCTCCTTTTACCTAAACTGTAGTCTGAGTTTCTTTGACTGCAATGGTTGTGGGAGATTTGGGCGCTGGATCTTTGATGGTGGGGTCTGGTTGTGAATCGTCGTAGTAGTGGCGTAGTGAATGCGTATGTGGCCTATACAATGACTTGCGGTGGCCAGCCAATATACAAGTCAGTGTTATTATCCTCCCAGACGAGTCTGGTACAAACTAGCCGACCCCGGAGGGATGGGAGGCTCGGTTGCTTAGGCGGATATCGATCAGGGAGTTGAACCGTGACCATGCGTGTGTGACAGTGCGCCAACTGCCACTACACCACCCTCGCTCACGAGAAAATGAGTGGAGGAATAAAGTAATAATGCAAAATTTGATTGATCAAAGGTTGAAATGATTCCTCTCGTAAGGGACGAGACGAATCAAAGCAGGCTGACAGCAAGTATGCAGTTTTTGAAGTAGACTCTGGCCGTATTCCAAATTTTGCTTTTCACTAATGGGAGGGAGTGACCTACTGTGTGAGAGCATTTTTAGAACGAATAGAAAACAAAAAATTTTTAATTTATAAAATCAAAATGGAACCAAGCCAAGGATTACCTATAGTAAGGACTAGGCATTGAAGGATACAGTTCCGAGAGTATGGAACTTGGCATTCGGACTCGTTTACGTGACGACATCAGCGCATCTATTTCTTGACTCATTTGCTCACCACAAATTGTCTGCCCTGATTCGTCTGTTATCGTTACCTGTAAGGTGAGAAGTAGCCAAAAGAGTTACCAGCCAACTGGGAAGTGCTTAGATTACCTGTACACAGCTATCGGTAGTGGGAGAATCTTTTTTAGGAGGTGAATCACGTAGATTACTTCTACCATTTCTGGCCTTGGTATGATTCAACAATTCTACCAATAAAGGTATAGACCCGATAGTTACCGGACATGATACAACCAGTGTTTGATCGATCTGCAATGACATTTTTAGCTACTATCTAAAGAAAGAGGTGTCAAATTTTACCTCCAAATCAAGGCTATAGGTAACCGATATAATCTTGCATTTGCCCAATCGAGGCGGAACTGAAGGCACAACAATCTCGTCCGTAATCCGGTCAGTGGTGGTATGTGCCGGTACCTATAATAAGGATAAATTGGGTCTTTGACGCTGATCAGCCTTTTTTGGGTCATGCGCCCCGTATTTGCCTTCTATTCGGAATGATACCGCCATTTGGATGCTTAATTGGCCTATACAATGACGTGCGGTGGCTGACCGATGTACAAGACAGTGCTTTCACCTCTCATTGTCAGACGAGTCCAGTACCAATCAACCGACCTCAAAGAGATGTAAAGCTTGTTGGCCTTGGCGGTAACCGATCGGGGATTTGTTTCCCGAACCATGCGTATATGGCGTGCCGTTAGCTGCATTTAAACATATGGATATGGACATGTAGCACTGGAACCAGCGTTATAGCCCACTACCCACCCAGACCATAGCTAAGAGTCCCATGAATCAGTTTATTTTTCCCATGGTAATTTTTTTTGTGGTTTTTTCGACTTCAAACCCCTCGTACCTCTGCTCCCGAGACGGGAACATCCTAATTAATCGAAGTGATCGAATAGATCAAAAGTTCGGTTGCAAACAGTGAGCTGTTCTTGGACTTCCTGCCTAACAGTTCTCCCCTGTTGTTATTTTCCTCTTGGAACCCCCTTACCCTTATGAGGGAAGGGGAGGATAAATTGCAGACTGGCTGCTTTGCAGGCTTTATCTACATATTACACTTAAATGTGTACCGGAGGAGAAAACCGCAAAAGTCAGAGAAAGTTCGGACAGCATGAACACAAAGAAAGGGCCAATACCTTTTGATAATAGTCCGTTGAATGAAAAGTATTCGAGTTCAAAGATCTATGGGGGAGTGAGCAAGTCTTACCTCTGGTTTATCATTTTTCAAGATTACCCGTGTTGTCGACCTCACTTGTTCATGTCCAGCGAATGTCTTTGCTCTGAAATAAGCGAATTTCCAAAATAAAATCAAAAGCAATCAACTGATCGGGCTGAACGCCAAGAAAAATGGATTACCTATAAACAGTGCTCTGCACAAACTTCAAACATAATGGCTTCGCTCGTGAGCTATTATTACTAACCCTGAAAAAAAACTTTTTTTTCACTTTCTAGGGGACCGAAAATTAAAAAAAGAAGAAACAAAAGTTAGTATACACACCGATAGGAAATATTAATTTTTTCGCCAGGGGTGAAGCCGCTTTTGGACAGGCTCAATTCGCCTGTAATACTACCGGTTGCTCGACAGCACCATGCAACCGTATGGTTTGATTCGCTTATTGAAACTGGCTCGTTCAGCTGAAAACTCATTTAATACGCCTTTAAAATGGTAAATAGTAAGAAAGGAGTAAGTTCATAGTAAGTCAAAAGTGAAGCTTGAAAACGCCATCATGGGTGAAAGAAGGGAAGGGGTAGCAAGAAGGGGAGGGGCCATATAGCGATTTCATGGCACGGGATCCGAACCTGTCCACTGATGTGGTGCAAAATAGAAAATTTGAAAAAAAAACAGGGTGGCTATATCTAACTTAATTCAACAGCACACGAGGTGGAAAACCACAGCGTGGGCGAACGTTCCGGGAAGTCGCCTTCTTCGGAGCCTTCGAAATCAGGGAACCAGCTTACCGAGACGACGGTACACCGTAAATACCTACATCTGATGTAAACTAGATTCATTAACCAGGCTGATTAGCTTCAAATAATTCGATGGTTCAAGAAAACTCACGCGAGGGTCCGAATTGATGTCTTCGATTCCTATGACAGTGAATGCTTTCCGTGAGACAATATCGAAATCCCATGGTCGTTCACAGATTGCCTGAAGAGTCAATTCAACAGGCAGAAGTTTAAAAAGTTTTAATTAAGTATTATTCATAATGTCCTGAGAATTAGTAGCAGTTATTGCTTCATGGGGCACAGCTAGGTAGAGAATTGACTGAAGAAAGAGAGAAAGGCTGTCCATTGACGGTAGCATAAATTTTTGGGGAAGTCCATCCCTGGAGAGAACTTTCTTGCTTAGTGAAGCGCTTTCCTCTCCCCAATACAAGCTTAT